GGGCCAATCTCACTATTGTTACCATGCTTGAGCCTATTGATGCTGCCACTTTGCCAATCCATCTCACTGGGGGTCTTCCTCTTTAGGTGTTGGGAAAACTGAGGCATGCATAATCTCATGGCCCTTGTCCTCAGAGCTCTTCATCTAAATGTCCAAGCAGATTTGTAAATGAGATTAGAACTACATATGATGGTGTATTACATGGAGGAAGAGAACAGGGTATTAATAGTGAAGAATTGGGTAGTGGGAAAGCCATTTTAATTGAGAATGAAATAAGGTGTCATTTCAGCTGATTGCTAAAGGGTGAGAATGCATCAGTCTAATGAGAAATGAGTTTTCCTTGCTTTGAGCAGTGCACTTCCCAAGGTCCAAGCGTCTCCAGGGCTGGACACATAGTAGGTTTGCAGGGAAGGCTGTTTGAGAGAGGTAAATGGAATCAAACAGAGCCCGGTCTTTCAGGAATTCTGAATTCAGGGAGGGAGCTACTGGACTTCAGTAGGGGTCTTTCAGCTCCAGCCTTAGTTTCCAAGAGGTCTTCATGAAATTCCTGTCAGGCCTGATAGGTGGGCTCAGTTTGGGCAGGAACAACATCAGAGGACTCAAACAATAGCTGAAAGAAGGTCTTGGATCTGAGCATGTACAGGGAACACCAAATACCTCAGGAGCATTTGGACCTGCTGCATGAGATCCCTGGGGTTCTTACAGACTCAGGGCTCTAGTTTTCTCTTCTCTAGGCCCACTGTGTTTCTTTCTACCAATTTTCATCTCCCCTAAATGTTTCGTTCTGCTGTGCATAAGGTCGCTATGAGTCGGTACCGACTCGATGACACCTAACAACAACAACAACAACAAATCAACTTTTGGTGTCCATGATGTACTCGGGTCATTTTGGGACATGTCAAGAAATCTGAAGACCTGTAACATGTTGGAATCTAAAGACCTAGGCTCAGATCCCAGCTCCTCTTTTCTTGGACCGTGTGACTTGTCACTTAATCTTCCTGTACCTCAGTTTCCTTGATGCTTAACTAAAGACAGCAGTGAAGATGGTGAGGTGCCTCCTTCCTCAGTGTATGGATTGAATGGCTGGTGGAGTGTCAGACCATTATCACTTGAAGGACTGTGTACCAGCTCCTACTTATGAGATTTGATGCGAGAAATGCAGAGCCCAGGTGTGTGAGTTCAGGTGTGTAAGCAATGCTCCTTTCTGTGGGACTAGCAGTTCCTTTGGATGGTGTTCCTTCAGAATTTCCTTGAAGGATTCTGCCTTCCCTCATCTCACCCTCTCTTGGCTATTGATCTATTCTTCAAGTGAGCCTTTCTGTTCCCTTTAGACACTCTAAAACTGGGCACTGCTCTTGCATGCTTTTCTTGCTGTGTCATCCTTTGCTTGAAACATGAGCAAAGACAGCCCCAACTGCCATCCAAAAGGGCCCCCAAGTACCAGGGAATGCTAGGAACTAAGGAATTCTTTGGTTGCATACTTTAAACACAGATTTCTACCTTATCCTGCTGGGTGGAGTTTGATGACCAGAGTTCCCACTTTCTCTCATCTACCATCAATTAGTACCCCAGGGGATATCTGGATACCAGTGGCATCTCCTTGTAGGCTGTACATGGAGGAAAGCAGGAAGACAGCATGACTCTCTGGTTTCAGCAGGTGATGGGTAGTACTGATAGCTCATTATCCAGACTAGGTGCAGAAATGAGTGAATAAGCAGAGGGCAGCAGGAGCTCCAGGTTACCACAATTGGCAGGATAGCTGCAAGCATGTGGGGAGCTCCTAGAAGAGGGAGGAAAGTGGCAAACAGCCCATCCCTCTCCCACCGAGATAGATAGAGCAGAGCAGAGGGCCTTTAGAGCAGGTGGGCACTCCAACATAGGTGGGAAGGTCCTGAAGACCAAGGTTGGTGTCAACAGCATCACTTGGAACCCTGCCCAGGCTCACATAGGAACCTGCCACTGGCTGGTGGTCTGTTCAGCAAGATTTGAATGGAGGGAGAGGGCTGCTAGGACCAGGGTGTGGTCAGGTTTTTAGGTTTTTACGTAGTCTGAGCTCCAGGGTCAAGCTGATAGTAGGGAAACAGAGTCCTATCCAGGATTGACAAGATGGACTGTCAATCTGGCTGGGTAGCTGGGCTGGAGAGTGTGTGGACTCAGGCCTGGAGTCATGGAACACCCCACTAACCATGCTCTATGCCCTGCCTGACCTGAGCAGGCTTGAAGCTTCCTAAGGTCAGTAACAGGGCAGGATAGCCACCTGCCTGGTGACCTGAAGGACCCTCTCTTCCTCTCCTCATTGCTTTGTCCTTGGGCTTTGGGACATATCTGTGTGGACTGAGCCTTGGGGATAGAGGATGGAGGGTAAAAAAATAATGTCCACTGGGCTTTCAAAGTCATTCCAAACATGAATCATTTCTGTTGATTAAAATTCTGTTGATAACAATAACAATTTTACTTGGACTGAAATTGATGTTCTTGTCTCTGGCAAAGCATGTATAGAAGTATCTCTAGAAAACTTGGCTGTTTCTACTAGGTCTGTAACAAACAATGGGGTGAAAAGTGATGCTTGCTCAACAGAAGCAGTCAATGGCAGCCCCTCTACCTCCTGTAGAGAATGTCTGGAGAGGTTACTGTGGGATTAGGGTTGAGGGACTCTCTGCTGCTTCTGGGGCACATTGAAGGCAGCAGGCTGAAAGACTCCACATTTCCTGTCTCCAGGCTCTCACTCCCCTCCAGCCGACAATCATCCCTCAGGCTGACTTCATCTCTTTTCTCAGGAGAAGCTGAATGTTCGAGATTTTTTTAAACATGAAATCTCCCAATTTCCAAATCCTGTCAATCAAATGAAGTAGCTTTTAAATACCGGGTAGCATTGGCAAACACTTCTGTAGTCTGGTTTTGCCTGTGGGCTGCTGGGTGTGACCTCTGGCATAATGGGAACAGAGGGCAACCACCAGTCTCTTCCCCAGGGAAATAGTTTTTTTGTTTTGTTTTTTTTTTTCTAATGGCAATTGTCATCTTTCTGTTTCCCAAGGTGGTTCTGAAGGTGAGCTGTCCCTGCTCCTTGGAAATGCAAAGAAATAAATGTGTAAAAATAGAGTAGCAATTCCTCAAAGCCCCTGTCAGGTTTATGTCTCCAGTACCTCCCCTGGGAGTGGCCAGGATGTCCCTAAATCATCTCCCAGGCAGACAGCAGAGTGGTCGAGAGCAGCCCCAGGCAGTACCTGCTGCAGGTGCATAGGGCAGGAGGAACAAAAACCTAAGCAGTCCCTCAGTCTGACCTCAGCCTGCTCTCTTTTCTGTCAAAACACTCCCTTCCTGCTTCTCACCTCCACTTGTCCCTCACAACCACAGCCAGGTTGCAGGTTTGAGCCTCAGATCAGTGGGGTTTGTTCAAGCCCTGCAGGGTATAAAGGAAACAGCGCCTGTCAGAGAATTTCCCCATCTGTACAATGGACTTACCAAAGAGCCTGCCATCAGCACAGAATAAGCAGACGTGTGCCAAGGACCAGGGATAGATAGAGCAGGCCTGGTACCTAGGCCAGGTGACCTGACCCTGTCCACGGGAAGCCATACTGCTTTCAGAAACCCATTCTTCCTCCAAGGGTGGAAGTCCCTGGCCCGTTCCCTGGAGGAGAAATGAAGCAATTCTTCTGGAAGACCCTTTAGAAAGGGGGAATCTCCCATATGTGGTGCAAGGGTACTGACAGCTGAGCTTGACTCTTCCTCTCCCACCTCAGCTTCAGGGGCTACAGAGCAGGACACCAACAACAACTGGGTTGGCGGTGTCATGATGACCTTAGAGGGCAGGAGTCAATGAGGACCCATCAGGGAATGCCACTGAGAAGCAGGATCATGGGACTGAGGACCTGTATGGACATGAAGACCAGTCATCAGGGGAGTTTAATGGACAGTTGGCAGTGTGGTCAGGAGCAGCCAGCAAGGCTGAAGGCCAGCCTAATGAGCTCAGCTACTGCCCTAAACGGTGTGGCAGAGGAGGGCTAGAGCCTGGGGCTGCTTCAAGGGTGGGCTCCAGGTTCCGTGGAAAAGTACAGGACAACTGAGGCAGAAACTGCAGCTGTGCAGATGGGTGGGTAAACATCCAGAGGTCCTAAGCCCGTCAGGCCTTCAGGTTTCAGCCCCCTCAGCTGAAACTCAACTCCCTGAACTGGCTGCTTGGCACTGGGCCAGGTTCTGAGACTGTAGAGGCTGGAGGGTGGCACCTACTCAGAGTGTATTGCTTGACAACTGGTACACCAAGACAGGAGGCACAGTTCACTGGGACACAGGGAAGTATCAGGGGCTGGCCCAGGAGTGGTGCAGGTGGGCTGACCTGGAGGTTAGAGGCAGCTTCAGCAGAGGACTGAGAGGAAAGTTCTGGGAGGGGGCCAGAACCTGAGGAGAATATATACATTGCCCTGGCCATGCCTCCCTTTCTCCAATTGTAACAGAAACAGCTGGGTCTCCAGCCTCCGGGCAAACTGGGTACTCAGCGAAAGTATATGAATGTGTGAGTGTGGGCAATAAGCTGATTCTGCCCACTCCCATTCCCACAGGACCCAACCCTGTCCTTTGCTCTGTGTCAGCTCTGGTTTCATGACTGGCTGTGAGATTCTGGACAGTGATGCAGCAGCCACTGGAAGCAGACCCTGTCCTGAGCCACATCTATGTATGGAGGCCACTATGAGCCCTGTGATGGCTAAAGTCACCACTAGGCACTTGGGAATGAGCCCAGCACTGCACCTAAAAAGATGGTGAATTAGTGCTGCTGGCTCTGAACCAACTTGGCACATCACTACTCGCTCTGAACTTCAGTTTGTTCTTCTGCAAAATAGAACTACAATGCCCTCAGTGCAAGGTTGCTGTGAGATTTCAATACAATGGTGATCATGCTGGTGCCTGGCAGGAGTTGAGTGGCATCTGCATGGGGTTTTTGTTCTCCTGTGAGGTTCCTGATGAGCCCATACTGCTACTGAAGACTATGTCCTTTCTCCTAACAGGGGTCTCCTCAGGTAGCCTGGACAGCCTCAGTCGGGCCTTGGGCGTGCTGGAAGAACGAGTCAACAGCTCTAGGCGGAGGGCACGCAGACACGCTACTGATGACGACTACAACATTGAAGTTCTGCTGGGTGTGGACGACTCTGTGGTCCAATTCCATGGGAAGGAGCATGTGCAGAAATACTTGCTTACGCTCATGAACATTGTGAGTTTGGGGTTTCCAGGGCCTGGGTGTCAGGGAGTGGAGGGAGAAGTGGGAGGAGCCAACCACTCATCTAGAATGGAGAATGATGTTGGTAGGACAAAGTACCTGCACTTTCTGTGGGACATTTACCTGCCACTAGCTTTTCCTTGTGAAGTCTCAGGTAAACGATGTCTACATAAGGATGGTCTCTACAAGAGGACAAGTGAGGAAAGTTGATCATCCATACTAGCCATTCCATCCACCTCACTAAAACTACGTTTTTCTCATCTGAAAATTGGTAGTAATTAGCTATTTACCTAGTAAAGTTCTTTTTAAGTAATTAGCTATTTACCTAGTAAAGTAAATTTACCTGGTAATGCAGTTTTCACAAATCTCAGTTATTTGTGCAATATTTTCTTCGCTTCTGCCATATCCACATTGTAATTGATCTGTGTATTTTCTCATAAACCAACTGACATTAAAAAACAAAACAAAACAAACACACAAAAAAAACTTCAGATTATTTAAAAAGAAAACATCATTTTACCTAAAAGTTACCTAAAGAGTAAGCTAAAATGTAAGCAATGCTATTTAACTCCAGCTTTTTAAATATGTGTTTTTTTTTTTGGGGGGGTGGTGGTGGTGGTTATTTTTGCATGTCTTTCTATTAAAAAGGGACAATGGTGAATGTTAGAGACAGGGTCAGACAGATCAACACCCATCCTTGAATTAATCATATGAGTTGAAAGGATATTGAAAAGGCAATCACATTCTTTCTGTGATCCTGGACTATTCAATGGTGGTGTCTGTGCATCATGCAAACCTTCTTGGGTACTAGTGACACATGCCCTTGTCTTCCAAATGCTGAAGACAGGAAGGGCTGCCCGAGCCCACTCGTACCTCTCCGTGTCTTCTGGCAGGAGGTACAAGGGTGTCGGTGTGAGTGTCCAGGGCACATGTCCCAGCCACTGTGCAGGTGGGAAGAGATCCCCAGCTTACTCTGCCATGTATAGAAGTGGGTACCTGGCCTTCAGGGTCTAGACTGTGCTTAAACTTAGAGAGCCCTGGTCAGCTCCTGGCCCTACCATCCCCAGGTATGTCACTTGGCTTTCTCATCTTGAAAATGGGTCTATAATTCCCATCTTGGAGGTTTGTTAGAATTAAATGAGATAAGAGATGTGAAGATGCTTTTCAGTCTTTAAATAAAATGTGACTTTACTATACTGACAATGTTTAGTTTAGGAACTGATAGTACATAAGGAGCTATTCTTGAGAAGTATGCCAAGGATATGTCTGAAGTTGGAGCAGGCATGATGAGTTCTTCATGAAATGTTGTTGTTGTTAAGTTCCGACTCATAGCAACCCTGTACAGGGTTTCCAAGGAGCGGCTGATGAGTTTGACCCACCAACCTTGCGGATCACACCGACTTTGCAGTCCTGCACATTGACTCACAGCACCACACCAGGACTCCTCTTCAAGAGACTGGTGGAGGCAAATTCTCCTTTCCCTGGTACGGAAACACATACCTGTGATTGGAGGAAGTCTAGAGCTTTCTTTTAGTTTTGCCAGTTGACTTCAATTTATTTATTTATTTATTTCCTAGCGATCCAACTATTCCTTATTTTTTCCAACAAGCACAAGAAATAGGAAAAATCTTAATGCCATTAATTTTATAACAAAGAAAAGATTCTAGGTGATAAATCCAAGTGCTGGGTTATGTCTTTCTTCCATGTTGCAAAGATATGTGTTTACTTATTCAGCCAATGTGGATTGAATGTTCCCTTGTCCTAGGCACAGCAGTAGGTCCTGCAGAGATAGAGAGGGATAGCAGACAGCCTGGAGCTCAGGGAGACACAGAGAGGTCATCTGCACCTCTAATCTGAACTCCATCTACCTTCTCAAGAGCCCATCTCCAGGACATGGGAGATAAGGCTCGACAGACAGTGTGTGGTGTGGGGGGTTGCCTTGACAATTAATACCCTCTAAGGCTCTGTGTCCTCACTGAGATCGTTGCACACCTGGAGAGAATCCAGAGGCTGATCTAAGGCTTGTAGAACACGTGGATGATCTTTGGAAGGAGAGTATCGAGGAAGCATGACTATTTCAGAAAGGATGAACAGGGCTATCAAGCAAAACTTTCTATGATGATGGAAATGTTCTAATTCTGCACTGTCCAATTCAGTAGCCACTAGCCACTCATCTCTTGAGTACTGGATGTGAGGTCAATACAACGGGAAAAGAAATTTTTTAAATGATTTAATTTATTCTAATGAATTTACATTTAAATTGAAATGCCAGTGTGACTTGTGGCTACAATATTGGACAGTGCAGCTAAGGGAGATTTATGCATAGCAGAACTTTCAGCTGTGTCCTGTCTTTGAAACTGACACAATGCAGTGGTCTAGACAGCCATGTGGGCAGGACCAGGGTGTGGAGTCATGAGTGAAGCCTTGAGACCTTGAAGGGCTCTCCTAGAGCACAGCCAGAATCCTGATGGACACTGAAAGGTCTGGCTGGGGCCCAATTTCATCCCTTTGTCAGTCCACAGCTGGACATGGGACTTTCCAGCACTGGGACAAGAGCAGCAATGTGGTGGACAGATGTGATGGCAGCTGGCCTGGACTCTGCTCCCAGGCAGGCTTTTGGTTGACTGTTGGAGCCCACAGAACCAGGGCTGGTTACACTAACAGTGTCCACAGACCAGGGCAGCTTCGAGTGGGCAGGTGCTCACTGACTGGGAGAAGGGTCTCGTGGGGGTCCAGGTGGCAGGGACCCAGGGACTGTAGACCACACATGAGGGTAGAGGAGAAACTGAGGTTGAGCTGAGCACAGCCTTAGACCTGTCAGCCAGATTCACCATGGCTGGCAGCTCTAAGCTGCCTTGGTTTCCCTAATCATCATCACATACGGAGATTTCTGTCTGTAGGACCCCCATGTGTGATGATGATGAGGTCTCTTATGGGTACAACCTGTGGCTGAGATGTGGGGTCCTGGTCAAATTTATCACATGCCCTCTACTTCCTAGCCTTGTAGCTAATTTGGGGCTGTATAGCTAGTTCTGTCTAGTGGCTTGTATGAAAGGAAGTGACACATGTCACCTTTTGGCCAACACAGTTAAGATCCAGTGTGTCCCCTCCATCACTCTCTTTCCTTGCCATAGTGACCTTGGAAACCACTTAGGCTACAAGATGTGGTAGGACCACCTAACCTTCATTGAACTATGACGTAAGGAAGAAAAGAACTGAGATTCTCTGCCGTTCTCTGTTATTAGGCATTATTCTGTCTAATGCACATGGTTTCCATACATATATTTAACAAGTATATTTTGGGTATCTTCTATGTGTCACCATAGTGAGTAAGATCAGACACTGTCCCTGTTGCCAGGGGTCTGCATTCTGGTATATTATATTCTGGTATATTTATATTCCAGTAAAAATATAAATGAAATCATTTAAGATAATGAGAAATTCAATGAAGGAAATAAAATCATTGATGAGATGGAGACGGGAGAGAGGTTGGGGAAGGTAAGCCATTTTATACAAGAGGTCAGTGAAGCCATTCAAAGAAAATCACATTGGATCTAGGACCTGAATAATAATGGGACAACTGTGGGAAGAAGCAGGATATAGGCTGAGGAAACAGGCATGCAAAAGTCCTGAGGTAGGAAATGAGGTCAGTATGATGGAAAAATGAAGGAAGGTCAGCGTGTTGAGCAAAAGGTGTGGGACAGGAGGGGAAGTCAGAGGCAGACAAGGCCTTCTAGAAGTGAAAAAAGATGTGGATGGGATTCTAAGAACAGTGGGAAATTAGGAGAGGTGCCACTTCTAGTCCTCTATTGTTTTGCTGTTAAATGCCATCAAGTCAGTTCCAACTCATAGGGATGCTCTATAGGGTTTTTGAGGAGTGGCTGATGGGCTTTGACCTCTGACCTTGTGGTTAGCACTCTAACAATGCTTATTCTTCATTACCACACGAGGACTCCTGTAGTCCTCTTGTTCTTGCTGTTGTTAAGTGCAGTCTGGTGGTGTTGGTGGTGGTGGTATGCTGTGGAGTCAGTTCCAACTCATAGCGACCCTGCATGGGGTTTCTGAGGCTACAAATCTTTACAGGAGCATCTTTCTCCCATGGAACAACTGGTAGTTTTCAACTGCTGACCTTGAGGTTAGCAGCCCAACTCGTAACCACTACGCTACCAGAGTGGGCTAGTGACATTTTATTCCTGTTTTCATAGGGAAATAAGAATTAATCCCTCCATCACTTTCTCCATCTCAGACTCCTTGGAGGGCGAGAAGGGTTGTAAATGTTTGCTAAGCACTTGACTAGAGCCACATGGACACATAAAGCCATATGGACACCTTCCACCCACCCATACCAGCATGCACCAGCCAGAAGATTTCCTTCTTTTCCTTCTTAATTCTAGAAAAGTACCCTTGTTTATTAAAATATTATATTTAACACAGGCAGTATATAATTTGTGAGCAAAATCAGAATATATTTATATAGGTATGTGAATGTTTCCTCCTATCTATTATTTTCTTCTGCCTCATGTTAATGATTGTGCCAGATTACTGTAATATTCTTTTCAATCTAACTTATTACTTATTTAACACATTCGTATCACAAACTTATTTCCTTGAGGCTACTCTTTATTTTTGTATTAGAAATAAAACTGCAGTGGCCATCCTTGTAGCTGAATCTATCATTCACCCTTAATTATTTCCTTAAAATGAACTCCTAAAAGTGGAATCCCTGGTCAACAAGTCAGTACATTTTGAAACTTTATACTCAGAATGTTTTCTGCTAAGGTTTCTCCTGTTCATACTGCTTCTGCTGTGAGGAATGCCCATTTCCCTACCTCCTTGTCATCAATAATCCTTTTTACTTACGATAATTTGATAGCTACAATGGAGATACATTTATTGTTTTAAGTTGTGTTAATTTAATGGTAATGAGGTTGCATTTTAAAAAGTGCATTTGAACACTATAGAGGTATGCACTCCTTAGAATGATCAACCATTTG